TCATCTCACCATTGCTTGTGATGGAAAGAACAAGGGAGGGGGGAGAGTCGTCCCGCACCCCTGGGCAGAGCTACCCTAAGCTCCTGGGTCTCCAGGGCTCAGCCTCTTGCCACCACCCCCTGTGATGTTTTGGCCTTTGGTACCAAAGACTTTTCTGGTACAATATCGTATGAGGGGGAAGATGCTCGGTGGAAGGGTAGGATGTACACAGTGGAGGGATGTGCACAAAGGAGTGATCTTAATTTTAAAACCCTCCCAGCTTTGTGCAGGGCAGGTGTCCCATGCTGAGCTTTGTTGAGGTGGGAGAAGCACAAGCCCTGCCTGAGGGAATGTAGGGGTCTGCAGGAGATGGGGAAGAAGGGAGGGCAGGCAGGCTGGGAGGTGCAGAACAGACCCAAATCTCCCGTGCACGCTCAGCCACAGCAAGGCTGGAAAACACAGACCTTAGGACTCTTTATTCTGACCATTGCCACTTCCTAGGACAGCCATCACCACCCAACCATGTGGTTAGGTGGTCAGGTAAACATCAGTGCATGTAGTCACCTGAATTTAATGGAAAGGCCTGGCTCTGGTGACAGAGGAGGACACCAGAAGTTCCTGGACCACACAGCAGGTCTCCATTCACGGGCACCACCTGAGCACACAAGCTCTTTTAGGCTTACAGCACATCATTTCCCATTCCCTCATGGACTCCACATAAATGCTGAAGTTTCCTGCTCACCACTGGCTCCTCTTACATGCTGTGTGCAAAGGCAGTGGGGAGAAAGGAGGAAAGGAAAAAAAGGAAATCAGCCCATTTCAAAATGGAGCAGAAAGAGGAGTCAAAAGAGCCGTGCTCCAGGATGCACTGCCCAGTGCCTTCTTTAAGGCTTTATCCCACGGATCATCAAGATGTACATCACTGTCCTCCCAGGAGAGGCAGGTACCGAGCACCATCCCAAGATGGTTCTTAAATGGAAAGTTTGCCAGGTCATCAGCTGAGACATTGTCCATGTCTGCTACTGGACAAAGCTCACTATCACCAACCGCTACGTGACACGAACATAATCCAGAGCAAACATCACATTTACAACATTGCTATGCACAGATTTTTCCCTGTCTTCCTTATACTAAAGAAACCCCACAGAATTCATTTCGAAGGGGTGAGGCTGGCACCTGCAGGCATTCCACGCAGCTCTCCAAGGCCCCCAGGCAGGAGCAGTGGGAAACTTCCCAGGGGAGCTCCTGGATTATTTCTGACCCCCAGCGCAGCTCCTTCACACCAAGCCATTGGGCAGGCAGAGGGTCTCAAAGGTAAGCAGCTTTCTGGCGAGTGTCTTGCATGCTTTATTAGAGTCATATTTTCACTTGTTCATCTGGTTAAGTCCCGGATGAGTGGTTATAGCCCTCTCCTCTGCCCCACGGCTTCTTCACAGTGTTGTGTATGGAGAGCTTTTATTTGAGCATTTTCCAGTCCCTGCCAGTCACGTGCCCGTGAACCAGCCCTGGTGTGTGTTGAGTGCGGTGGTCTCGATGAACTGGCAGAGGCAGGGCACGCCTCTGTGCTCCACGTGCCCCCCCTCCACAGCCCGGGGAAGCCGGCCAGGGACAAGGAGCCGGACGTAGCATCCACTGAAGATCACCAGGAGCTGCTGGGCCATCACCTGGAATGAGCACAAGAGGTGTCAAAGTGGAGCATCTACCTGCAGGAACTGTGGATGATACACTAAATAACCATTTGCTCCCTTGTTCAAGGACTGTCCTCTTCTGAATGAAACAGGACAGGAGCCAACGGCATATATAACTGTCCCAGATCCCCTTCTGGTCAGCAGTGCTGGCACACTGTCCCCACAGGGGAGTGACATGAAATGACCGCTCGCTGGTGGGTGGCCAGGGAGCCAGGCTGCTTGGGGACCTGCCTGCTCGGTCACTGCCTCTTGGTGCCTTTTCTGCCTGCAGACAGCCAGAGAGCTTCAATCTGCAGGGATGTCACCTGCACTGTATTCACTTAGTGACAGTGAGCAGAAAACTGTAAAACAAATCAAAGTTATCCCTTTAGCAGCTTCTTGCTGAGCGGGAATGAGGACACATTTGTTGCTCAGCAGGGCACAAGTCTTTGAAGGCACACTTCATGGAGGAGACAAGGCTGGGCATGGTCATGCCTCATCCCCAGCCTGGACACAAGTGCTGGGTCCCTGCACGGACCCTGGGAAGAGGTTGTCTTCCAAACAGGGACCCCCATCCACCAGCAAGGAAAAGCCAAATCCATGAATTCCTCTAGGATTAAGCACTAGCTGCTTGGTAACCATTAACTGCTCAGCAGTGCCAGGCCCAGAGAAGCTGTGTGTGGACCTCTGGGTTTCCAGATGCTTCCACTGGTGAAAAAGGAGTTGTCCCCCCCAGCTGGCAGATGCTGAGATGACTTTTGGAGTCGAGGTGCCTGAGGAGGTGATTTGGCACCTCTGTCAGGAAGCGATATTTCTCATTACCTCTGGTGGGCCCTCAGGAATGAGGCGGAGCAACTTGTTGCATGTCACAGGCTCTTTATTTAGGTTCACCCCACTGGATAGAAGAGGGGATTCTTCACGTGAAGCCTCCTCCTCCATCCCCGGGTCCGGCTGAACTGCTGCTTCCATAACCACACAGAGCTGGTCCAGGCTGTGCTGCAAGCTCGACTGGAAGAGAAAGAGATTTTGGGAGTGTCCAAAGGCAGGCAGGAGTGCTGTCCTGAGGAGAGCCTTTAAAGGACATGATTTCTTCCTGCATATTTTTTACTCCTAGGAGTTATCATCCCAAGAGTAAAAATCAGCATTGGCCAAGAGCCATGCTCAGCACTTGGAGCTGAGCCTCTTCATCCCACAGCCCCGCTGCCATCAGCTGCTTCTTGTGTCAGCGACTGCTCCCAGCACTGTGGTCACAGCCTAGCACGGAGAATCTTGTCTTTAAAATCTATATAAGTTCTGTCAGCCAATACGTGAATTGGTGTGTCCATCCCCCGGTCTGTGTCTGTCGGTTCATCCAGGGAGATGAGGAGCCTTGAGATTTTCATAGGGTTATATCCCCCAACTCTCACTCCATGTCTATGAACAGCAAGGACAATTCAGTGTGGGAGAGCACAGTGTTTGTATATTTATACACCCACATAGAGGAGAACGTTTTCTGTGGGCCAAGAGGACAAAATTTTTACACAGTTAACCCAGTACAATGTTTACTTATTCCTCAGGCTATCCCATTTACTTCAGGAGGACAGCCCAAGGTGTTAGCTATTTCAGGTTGTGACACGTGCTTTCAAAATTTGCCCTTGATTCTTGATGACTTTCCTTTATTAAAGTTGTATGGTTAATTATCCAGACATGTACATACCACAGGGCTGAACTGGGCACTGGCAGATGCACTTTACCCACCTCCCAGCCCGTCCATCTCCCACCTCACAACAGGGGATCATAGAATCATAGAATCATTAAGGTTGGAAAAGACCTCTAAGATCATCAAGTCCAACTGTCAACCAAACACTACAATGTCTGCTAAACCATTTCCCCAAGTTCCATATCTACACGTTTTTTGAACACCTCCAGGGATGGTGACTCCACCATTGCCTGGGGTAGCCTGTTCCAATGCCTGCCCACTCTTTCAGTAAAGAACTTTTTCCTAATATCCAATCTAAACCTCCCCTGGCACAACCTGAGGCCATTGAGGGGATGTCCAGGAGGACACTCAAACACTCGGTTCTCCTGGCCCACCTCCATCCCACCAAAGCTGGGGCGTTAGGGGTGGACCTGCACATGTCACCATGGGACCTTGGGCTGTGCCCGCTGTCACTTACCTCTCTTCTCCTTTGCAGGTCCGCGATGTGGGCTGACAAGGACTGGAGGCAGCGCTCCGGGCTGAAGTGCACGAACCACAGCTGAGACGGGCAGGGTTAAGGAAGGAGGCTTTCCATGCTTCCTGCTCCACAGCCCTCCACCTCTGTGCAGATCATGGTACAGACCTCACATAGGGCAGGTGCTGCCCACAGGATGCTCAGGACACAGCCAGGAGACAAATAACACATTGCAGGGCTAATTTAAGCCAAGAGGATCTAGGCTAAGACAAAACCTCAAGCTATTGGGGAAGAAAATAGGGGTGCAGGAAAGGGAATATTGCCCCAGAGGGCAGCCAGTCCTCCTTTTGCACCTCCCACACCCTGGGAGGGTGAGGACTGGGATAACCCAGGGCCATTGCCCATCGCTCATCTCGGTGGCCTTACATCTAAATAAACTGGTGGGTCATCTTGGCTTAGCTCCCTAAAACTCCTTCCTGCTTTCTATCCTTTTTTTCTAGGGATTCATTCAGTTTATTTTTTACAAAATGTACTGTACCTGGTGCTTGCCTGCAGGACAAAGGCACTGTCTGCGAAGAGTCTACCAAAAGCAACGTCTTGGGGATGTGAGTCCTGCCAGCCTTGAGAGCAGCAGCCCCCCAGAAGGCAGCCAAAGGTCTGCCCTTATATATCTACTCAGGGTGCCATCATCAAGGGGATTCAGGAACAGAGTAAAAGCTAGAAGGGTTAAAGCTGATCTGACATTGGAGCAGTCTGAGAAATTTTAAATCCTTGGGTTGTTGCCTGCTCTCAGACAGTTCTGGAACACATAGGTAGAAGTGAAGTCTCCTTGGATTAGTCCTTACTTACTGAGGTGCAAAACTACACTGGTCTGAACAAACATGTAATTCAAGTTCTCAAGTGTTTCCTCTTCGTTCTGCATGACTTCACCCCTGCCAGCCCCCCTTCATTATTCCCTGCCCACTTCTCTGATCCCCTGTTTCAGCCTCTGTTCCCTCTCCATTTCTATTTCATACCTCTCTCTATGTACAGGGACCGGTGAGGTCCACCAGCATATGTGGTAGACCATCTCTCTCACCTTCCTTTAACATTTTGATGCTGTCTTAAAACTCTCTTCTTTCCCTCATATCTTTGTGTCATCCAGAAAAGGGATCTCTAAAAAGAAGTGAATCAGCCTCCCACTACCTGGTTTCTTCAACCTGCATTTTTTAAAGGCCATGAAGGTCAGATGTGCTTGGAAGCTACAGACCTGGCTGCCAGGCCCGCGTCCTGGGAAATCAAGTTCTCTAGTGTGCCTGAAGGAGGGAGCCTCGGGCTACAAATCACCCGGAGAGCAGAGGCACTGGGATGCCGTTGGCTTGGTTTGTCTCTGCAAGGCAGAACATGAGCTCCCAGGGACGGGGACTCCGGTTTTCCCTGTGTTGTTTTCTTTGCCATAGGCACATTGCTGTCACTCTGCTCATAACAAGAATCATCACTGTCATGTAAGTATAATAACCTTTCAGGAATGATTGCCTGCTTAAAAGACTAATTCCACTTCAATCTTTTAGACTCATTATTTCCAATTGCCTTTGGGCATATCTCAATCCCCACTTACAGAAGAAGAAAAAATACTCAATCCCTCATGCCACCCAGCAGGAGAAAAAACAAATCCTAGAAATCCCTCCCGCTGGAAATCCTCATGAATCATAACATCATTCATCATTAAATACCTCCACATCACTAGCTACCAAGGAGGGGTACAAACGCTTCCCTACAGAAAGGATACTTGTAGGATGTTGTGTGGACCATCCAGGGCATCTGTAATCCCCAGTATTAAACCATGTTTGATAAAAATTTCATTGACAGCTGCCAGCCTCACATCTGTATTCATATTTATCTATTAAAGAATGCAGGAAAAATTAACACTCTCTACAGCAGAAGTTGGGCCAGCCCATGACTACAAACAGCAGCCAGATAATCCCAAATACCGCACCTCTGAACAGAACGTAGCAACAAGAGCAGTCTGGCATCAGGCAGCACTGTCACCAGCCAGCAGCATTGGCCCAGCCACTGCCAGCAGCTGTCTGTGCAGCCAGAAATCTCCCTAAAGATTATTTCTCTTATAGACAAGATGTCTGAAGTGGAATTGACTTCCAGTATCAAGTTCTCTCTTCCTTTGCCAGCAGTCCCTGAGTGAAGGACTCCTTTCCTGAACCCCTGTGCACCCAACATGTTTGCCATGTGTCCCTTTGGAAGCATCATTGCACAGCTGTCATTAGAGGATTGCTCCAAAATCCACAAAAATCAGTGAAAAGACCCCTCTGGATTTCTAATTAAATCTTTCCAATATTATTCTTCAGATCAGTCCTTAGAAATTTCCATACTCCTGTGATTCCTACAAACAAAAGCTGACAACAGCCAAGTGGTGCATGCTGCAGGCTGGCTGACTCTCATGCTAATATCGTCTCCCTGTTTCCTTCTACTGCTCGGTCTATCTCGGTTTTGTAATTTTATTGCAACTTCTAAGGGTTAGAAGCTGCCATTTTGTTCTGGACCTGTCCAGAGCACCACAGCAACACAAACAAATGATGCTATTAACAGCTGCACACAGCCGAGACTGCAAGGACCGTCATCAGAAGCAGGGCAGGAGCCAGCTCTGCTGGTGAGGCCCTGTGGCTTCCCACCACCCACAGGAGCATCAACCGCACTCTGCAAAGGTGGCTTTGTGTCCTGCAACAGCAGGCAACTTGAGCCAGCCTGCTGGGCTCCAGCACCCACATTTTAGGCATTACAACACCTAACTTGGTGGTGTGACGTCCCTTGCCTGAACCTGATCTCCAAGTCTGCTGTAAAAATAATCCTTCCTCCCTGGGTAATTATCTTCTTCACACTCATCTAGGAAATGACCTGGGTCGCAGCACTTTGGTGGGAGAGAGTCCTGCTCCCCAAGCTCTGCATGCCTGCACACAAGCATCCTCCTCTTACCTTCCTCTGATGACGATCAATAACCAGTATCAGAACTACAGTGATCACTACGGCAGCCAGGGTCACCAGCACACTGGCCTCCCAGTAGCGTCCGAAGGAACACAGCTGGACTGTGGAGTAAATGTTTGTCCAGAGAGACATGTAGAAAACCTGTAAAAACCCAGAGAGACTGATGATGGGCATAAAACTAAGAAAGTGGAGAAAAGTTACAGGAAGAAGAAAACTACTGGTCCCTTCTCCCAGGGTAATACCTTACCACAAATTGGCACACCAGATTTTCAAAGGGTGAGAAAGGACAGAAATTCTTTCCAATAATAAATAGGAGAAAGAAAGGACTAGAAAGACTGAGTGAGCCCTAGTTTGTTATAAAAAATTACCAGTCATCAAAGACAGAGAATGAATTATAAATGATGATTCATACCTAGGAAGGATTTCAACCGAATTATTCCATTTAGATAAGAAATGCACTCACTGAGGCATATTGATAATAATTCTAATAGACTCTGTATTCAGAAAGCTCCTATGTCAAAGCACTCAAGGTGCTGCAGAGAGTAGTAAATTACAATAATGCACAAATGGTGGACACTGGCACTGGGCTCAAGGACTGTGTTAAGGACTGACAAGCTTGCCCTTTGCATAAAAACAGCCAAAACTGAATTCTTTAGGCCTTTACTTCAGATAGCATGCATTTGGGCAGGAGATTGCCTAGAAGCAAACGAGACATGCACAGCACAGCGTGTCACAGCATCATCTTGCAGTAATATAACTCATTTACACTAAACAGGCACCAAAACTCTCAAAGTCCTGAGCACCAATTCCTGCAATATTAGTGAAAGGAGGAGAAGACATGCATAATGGCTATCCAAAAAAAATTAAATGCAACTAAAATGAAGGGGTCAGATTTTATCACACCCTCAGCACACTGCAAAGTATCAGCCTTACAGTAGATGCAAATGGTTGGGGTCTCTGGAGGAGCTTCTCTCACCAGAAGACGACAAGCAAGACTAGACAATGACCTCAGTAACCAAAGTTGACTGCTACATTGGTCTAAATTAGCATCAGGACCAGAATATCTACAGACTTTTAAAATCAAGTTAAAAAAAAAAATCTGATGTAGGTACTTCAGCGTGTGCTGGTTATCCAGCCCCAAACAACTCTCTGTGGTGGGACCACCAGTGAGGGCTTGGAGAAGGTGCCTTGCCATCCATCTACAGAAATTCTGTGAACTGGGATTTCCTAGGCAGTCCTCTAGGATGTGTGAAAACTCATATCTCCTCCCCGCCCAAACTTCTCTCCCTCCCTGGGCACAAGAACCCCAGGTGTAGGTCTTGATGCATCTCAGTGGGTACATGTCCATGGCAAGCCTGTGAGAGACCCCACGGTCCTTACCACAGCGATGGCTATCTGGAACACCCTGGAGTTGTAGAACATGTACCGTCTCACTTCAGGCTTCAGCACAGCCTCCTGGATTAACCTTCTGCACTGATCCGCTGCCACCTGCTCAGGGAGCAAACAGAAAATGAGAGCCACCCGCCAAGTCCCATCAGAGCTAGCCTGGGCAGTCATCATGGGGCCAGGCTGGCACTGAAACTGGAATCTGTGTCCCAGAGCACCCTCCTGCAGAGCGCACCTCCAATCTCATCCATACACCCGTCACAGACCAAAAACTTGTGTTCTTGCCTCATTTGCAGTGAGTAATATCTCACTGGAAAGTGCAGGGAAAGTCACAAGAGAACACCATCTTTTTATGACAAAGGACAAGACGAGACAGATTGTCCCAGGGATGCTCCATCCCATCAGAGTGACTTTCAAGCAATTCACTAGAACCTACGTTGAATGGGTTTATTCATGGAGGTTTAATCCAAGATCATTACAGTTGACTTGCAATCCATGGGGAACAGACTGAAGTTGAACCAAACCAAAGGACTCAAAATCACAAAAAAGCAAAGCTGTCTGTGATGTGGATGCAAATGGTGCTAATCCAGCTAGCATTCACTCCTCCAGGGTCCCCAGGGGAGATAACACATGAGGAGCTTACCTGAACCCCAAGGGACTTCAGTTTCTCCGCACAAAGCTCCATGTCAAAGGAGGTGGCTGAGCAGTTGTTGTCCATGCTGAGCACCATGAGCACCTGGCCATTGAGGGGTTCTGCAAGAGCCCAAAAGAGTCACGAGCACAGGTCTGGCATGGGTTTTTCTCCCAGCAGCTAAGGAGCATATGGCAAAGGGAAGGCAGAGGAATGCAGACCCGCCTGAAGTGGGCAATCCAAAATCCCCTTTTGGACATTTCTAAGAACATCACAATGAGCTTTGCAAGCAGCCTGATGTGCCCTCTAAGGAGGCAACCTACAAAAAGGGATGACCGAAAGGACAATGGGCTCAAGCTGCTCGGTGTTGCTCAGGCTATCTACCTCTCAGGGAAATATCCCAGTGCCTACCCACCCCACCCACCACAAGAAAAAGCTTGAACAATCAAAATAAAGTGCTTTCCAATAATCACATTGTCTGGGATGTGGCAGGGCTCCCCTGGAGCATGAGCCCCATTGGTCCTCCAGCATCCAAGTCTCCACTCCAGCAGTGCTCCTGGGCAGCATGGCTCTGCTCAAGACTCTCAGGTTCCCAGTTTCAGCTAGGGCTAGGACCAGAGATGTAACCTAGAGACGCAAGTTGCAGCCAGGAGTCTAGAAAGTGTGAGGACAGCCTGTCCTAGATTTGAGGAGCAGGCTGGTTGGAGCTGAGGCAGAGCAGCCTTGAAGTGGCATAGGAGAGCTGTGATCTCCAGGCATCCCATCTGGCATTCATCTAGAGTTTACATAAGCTGTGCTACGTCAGGAGGAAGAGACCGGGTCTAAGGAAGTGGCTTGTTCAAATGAGATCCTGTTTCACTGAAACATTTCACACAGCTTTTCTTCCCCTTTGCAGATGCGGAGTCAGCCAGATGTCCCCTGGGGCTGCTCCTCCTGACACTGCCTGCTCAGTGCTCTCCCAGAGCGCTGTGCTAGCTGAAACACAGCGGGCACTCACCTTTCCCTGCTCTCCCACTTCTGTCCTCCATCCTCATCATCTCTTCACTGCTCAGGAACAGGAGACGACAAGTGAAAAGAGACACCTACATTACAATAGGGTGTGACTGCATCGAGTCAACAAGGGAAGAGTAGATGCATCTGAAACCTCCAGGATAACAAGGTCCTGTTCGTTTGCTGAGGTTTATCTTCTCCTGACCCAGAGCAGTGGAGGGGGCGAGTATAAGGCAATAATAAAAACAAATTGCTTCAGCCTTGGGCTTGACTCTCCTGTTCCCCATGGCTTTGGTCAAGTTGCTCAGCACAAATTCTAGTGCGTTGGGTGCCAAGCTGAGATACCCAAGATGTGCAGAGGGGCTCAGCTCCTTGACCTCTGCTGGAGTGACAAGAGCTGCTTGACCTGGAAAGCACAGGTCAAGTTTCCCAAAGGTTTTTTGACTTTTGAAAGCCAAGAGAAGCGGACTTTGGGGGTCCTGGTTTTCAGTAGGTGGATGTCCATTCTTTTCTATATATCAGGCTTTACAAAAAAGAGTGTCTCCATTCCCTGTCCAAAATGCTGAAACATCCATAATGTTTAGTTACTTTGGCAAGTGAGATGCTGTTAATGAGCATCTTTGAAAAATCTGTCTTCTGTTATTTTAAGGGTGCTGTACTCAGTACTGCCTTTTCCTTATCATCAACAAGTTGCTCGCTTACCTTTCACCCACTGCAGGGATCCTTCCTGTAAATCACTCTTACAGTAGAGGATGGAGCTAAGCGACCCGTTTTTCTCATTTCCACTGGCTTGGCTTTTCTGGGCCATGCTGAAGGTGCCTCTCTGTCGTATTGTCAGAAATTCAGCACTCTCTGTATCTTTCACAAGCCTTATCTCACACTGCTCAGAAACACCGACTCGGCCTCCAGGCAGGAGGCAGCCGCCTTGCTCTCCTCGTTGGGGAGCAGATTGTGAAATCCTCATTCACACTCCCACTGACGCCTTCCTCGAGATGCTGCTTTCCATGAGCCAAGAGGCATTTTCTAGCCCTGAAAAGAGGAAAAGAAAGTCTCGGATCTTGCAGAGACAGCAAATAAAGGGGAACAGAACAGACCGCTTGGGTATACTCTGCTCTTTGGACCCCACTCCCTGCAGATGTTATCACCAGGTAGGTGTTAGCCAGCCGTGAGCGCAGTTCGCATAGGCTCGCCTTTTGCTGCAATCGCTTTTTTTTTTTTTCATAAGTGCAAAAGTTACCCTTAAATATTTTTCATGTTATCTCGACAGCCTTAAATACTCATATCCTGTAAACAACTAGTCAAGGAACAGGCAGGATTTCTCCTTGTGAAGCCAGCGGGCCCTTTGCTATTGCTTTCAGCGGGCACTCTCAGAAGGAATCACAGAATCACAGAATGTTCGGGGTTGGCAGGGCCCTCTGTGGATCCCCCAGCCCAACCCCCTGCCGAAGCAGGGTCACCCAGAGCAGGCTGCACCGCACCGCGTCCAGGCGGGGGTGGAAAATCTCCCGAGTTTTCCAGGCGGGGCTGGAATATCTCCAGAGAAGGAGACTCCACAGCCTCCCTGGGCAGCCTGGGCCAGGGCTCCGTCACCCTCAGAGGGAAGAAGTTCTTCCTCGTGTTCTGCTGGAGCTTCCTCTGCTTCAGTTTGTAGGGAAGCGGAGCTGGTGCAAATGCCACTCCCTGCTCCCTGACGCAGTGGGTAATTCTCCACAATACGAAGGAAGCAGTGCAGATAAAGCAGAAAAATGCACCCACCAAAGGCAGAGGCAAGCAGAGCTCTCACCCAGCAGCAGCAAAGCCTTTGAGGGTCTCTGCTTTCCTTTGCACTCTCCTCTCTGCCGTGGGCAGTGCCAGAAGCCGACGGGGCGTGTTTCTGCAGCAGGCACCGTGCCCACGGGTTTTCCAGGCGAATGCTGCTGACATAGGTCTCTAATCTACTGCCAGGACCTGTGGGTGGTTATTAAAGCAAATGCTTGGAAGAGTCTGACATTTACTTTTCAATTATCTTCCACTCACGTGGCTCAGCTGCATCCGAGCTGGCTCTCCTAAACTTTTTTTCACTTTTTAGCCTCTGAACTGTCTTACTTTTTCACCAGGAGCATGTCACTGTCTCTTAGTGTAAGAGTCCCTCACAGAGCTCATCCACTCTCTTTACAAAGAAAATATTGTTTTATTTTTGACCAATGGTTGTTGCTGCAATTATCTCCTTGCAAAAAGCCAGGACAGTCACTGGTTGTAGGACTTTCAGAAAGGAAATTGAGGCAAGAGAAACAACATGAAAGCTTCTTCTAACTGCAGAAAAAGAAACTGTGGAGGGCTGGAATCATGGAATCATAGGCTGGAAAAGACCTCTAAGATCATCAAGTCCAACCATCCACCCAACACCACCATGCCTACTAAACCATATCCCAAAGTGCCACATCTACGCGTTTTTTGAATGTCTCCAGGGATGGTGACTCAACCACCTCCCTGGGCAGCCTGTTCCAATGCCTGACCACTCTTTCAGTAAAGAAATTTTTCCTAATATCCAATCTACACCTCCCCTGACACAACTTGAGGCCATTGCCTCTCATCCTATCGCTAGTAACTTGGGAGAAGAGACCAACAGGTAGTTGTGGAGAGTGGTAAAGTCCCCCCTCAGCCTCCTCTTCTCCAGACTAAACAACCCGGGCTCCCTCAGTCGCTCCTCATAAGACTTGATCTCCAGACCCCCCAAGCCTCAGTGCCCTTCCCGGGCCATGCTCCAGCCCCTTCAATGTCCTTCCTGTAGTGAGGGGCCCAAAACTGACCGCAGCATTTGAGGTGCGGCCTCACCAATGCCGAGTACGGGGGCACGATCACCTCCTTACTCCTGCTGGCCACACCATTCTTGATCCAAGCCAGGATGCTGATGACCTTCTTGGTCACCTGGGCACACTGCTGGCTCATGTTCAGCCAGCTGTCAACCAACACCCCAGGATCCTTTTCCGCCAGACAGCTCTCCAGCCACTCTCCCCCAAGCCTGTAGCGTTGCATGGGGTTGTTGTGACCGAAGTGCAGGACACAGCATTTTGCCTTGTTGAACCTCATACTGTTGGCCTCTGCCCATCAATCCTGCCTGTCCAGATCCCTCTGCAGAGCCTTCCTACCCTCAAGCAGATTGACACTCCCACCCAACTTGGTGTCATCTGCAAACTTACTGAGGGAGCACTCAATCCCCTCATCCAGATCACTGACAAACACAAAGGAATGAACCCATGGTACACAGCGTACAAGAGGTGCGCAGTGTGTGTGTGCGTACATGGGATGGGCACAGCACGCACTCTTCACCAGTCCAGGTGAGGAAACTTCTGCTGTACATCGACTGCGGCTCTCCAGTGCAATTTTCTTGCTGAGCATGGGCAGCCACGTGTTACAGAGCACATCTCCCAGCACCAAAAGGTGGATTCAGACAGTGAATTTGCTCACTGCTTTCCCCCTTTTGCCTTCAATCCCTTCAGGTTAGCTTAGAACAGGAAGGAATATGAAAAACAAGACAGAAAAGCCTGCACAGAACAGCAGCAAAACAGAGAATGAAAAACCAGAGCAAACAAAAGGAAAATGCAATTAAAACCTACCACCCTGTCATTGCTGCTGTCATGTGAAGTTAGAGATGAATCAAGGCTCTCTGGCTTAAACGTCACGAATTTTGAGTCTTTGGAGGACAGTCCCCAGGAGACGACAGCGAAGGGTGCAGCAGGGTCGGGGCAGCTCAGCCTTCCCTAACCGGGACAAGGCCGTCAGCAAAAGCAGCTTTGCTTTTACCTCTTTGTGCAGCATAGACTTGTTTGGCTCTTTGCCTTTTACTGCAAAATGACTGCCCGCTTTCAGAGATCCATCACCCCTTACCTTCCTCTGCCTCCTCCTGTGCTAATGCAAGTGGCGTCCTCTCATCTCCTGCACTCCCAGGGCTCTGTGTCCCTCTACATCTCTTCTTCTTCTCTCTGCAGTGCCAACGTCTCTCTGGTGACTGCCTACTTCAGGCTATGGACCTTTGTTATAGGTCGCCTTAGCTAAACAGCAGAGGAAGAGTTGGCAAGCCCTTCCACTTCATTTCCAGAGCGGCTGGCAGAGGCTTACCTGGTCCAGCTCACGTCCTGCCCCTGGAGAGCCAGCTCAGCTCCCTCCTCCCTGTCCTTTATCTGCCATCGTCCCACTCTGCACTGCCCAGGCGCCGCGCTGTCCCACAGCCCAGCAGGGAGGTCTCCAGCCTGTGCCAGAGAAGTTCCCAATCTTCCCTGCGTCTCCTGGGGACCACAGACTAACCAGGCAGAGCAAACCCAAGGCAAGAAGCCTTCACCCCCACGCTCCTTCTCATTACTCTGAGCTGCAAGCACCAACTTGCAAAATCTCCCTTGTGCATGTGACTTTTCCCCTAGGCTGGTTTCAGAAATGCGGTTTTAACCCTCTCGAGTTCCTCAAAAGCGCTCCCCCACAGAAGGCACAGGCATGGGATGAGATCTTGCTGCAGGAGTTATCCTCACCTTTTGCAGGGTGGGGGTCCAGAGCTGGACCCTAGGCTGTGATGAGCTGAAGAACGGCACAGGCAGAAGGCTGCCCTCCTCCTCCTCGATCAGCCGGGCAGGACTCAGGAAGTACAAATCCCAAAGTTGCGTCAGATTAGTTGCCGTGAATATATTAGTCAAAGCCAAGCAACGATGACCAGGCTGGAGAAATCAGAAGAGGTGAACGAAGATCGGAAGGCCGAGAACGGGTCACTGCATATTTAGCAAAAGGTCATGTTACAGCACAGAGCAACAGGGATAACACGCAGGGTGGGAATCGTAGCCCTCCTCAAAACTGGAGGCTGCGCTGGTACGGAGGGCGGGTGTGAGCTTCCTCTCCAGCTGCTGGACTTGGAAGAAAAGCAGTAGGCTCAGACACAAGATCAGACAGACCCCCAGAACCGCTTCATTTGCTTTCATGCAAAGAGATAATGCTGAGCGATGCCACAGGAGAGAAGACTCCTTAGCCTAGGAATCACAGTTTCACGGCTCATGGAAAGCTGGAGGATCAATGGAGGCTAGGAGCAGAGTGAATCAAGTATCTGAACGACTGTTAGTGAACAGTTTAAAAAAACAAAAAGCTTCATTGCAGTGCCCGTGTACGCTTCCTGGAGAAAATGCTGTTCTTCTCTCGGAGGGATGAATTTATGCAACCCTGCTTGCTCCAGACATTGCTGAGCAATGTGTTCATTACATCACGTGGCTGCATGGGGAACAGAACTGACTTCAAAACCGCTTACCCACATGGGATCTTGTTACACTGGAAACTGGCAACTCACATAGTAACCTCGTCCAGGTATTGAGAAAAATCAGATAAACCTTCTTGCTGTTGTCACTAGCTCAAGGCTGAGCTCGAATCCCCACCCAAGACAGCGCCATGCAAAGCTTTAGGTTCTTTTGCAAACTCTCCTCATCAAAAGCTTTGGCTTTGTTTCCTCCTCTGCTCGCCCACACAAGGATCCTGACAGAGGGAGAATACGACAACCAGAGTGCTTAGAAAGAGCCCTGTCAGCTCACTGCAAAAAAATGCCTGAGGCAAAACTCTGTGGGGGCAATAAACTTGAAAGCAGCACTCGTAATTACCTGCAGCGCAGACACCGTAAAGGTCTTGTTTAGCAAGATGTGTGTGTATGAGCTGATTTTGGCATCCTCGCCTCATCCCATCAGCACAAGCAGAAAAATCCTGCTTGTTTGGGAGGGATGTTGCAAGACAAAAAGAAGAAAAAAACCCACCACAACCCCAAAGGAAAAAAGAAAAGTTTAGGTTCAAAGCAATTCCAGTTTT